TTAAATATTTTAAAATTTAAAAAATATAGATCATAAGCATATTTTTAACAATTTTTCAGGCAAATTTGCCTGGAAAAACTTACAGATTAAGGGATAATAAATAAATAAAAACGATATTAGAATATACTGCAAATCATTTTTATATTACGTAAAATCTCTAATATTTTTTTAATTATTTTATCTAATCTATAAAAAATTTTATTACAAATTTTAAAGGTAAAATTAAACTTTAGAATTAAAAGTTTATGGATTAAATTAAAGTAAGAGTTAGGATTTTTTAGGGCGCTAAAACATCTTTACTAGTATACCAAATACCGATTATCAATGCCATTTTTGAAACACAACATACCCGATGAATTTCACTTATGGTGAGCATTAAAATCGTCCTATTTAAAAAGTTGTATATAAACAAATTAAAAATGTTAATATCTGATATATATAAACTATTTTTTTAATTTATCCAATCTTATAAATTTATTTTAGTGTAAAATTATAACATAGCCTTAAATTTGGCTAATATTATTGAACATTTATTTAAGATGTTCACATTGCACGTAGCAATATTTTATATTTTTATTATTTACTATTGTATATGATTAATGTGTATGTACATTCGATACAAAAACTATGAAGGTGTCCTCATGCTATAATTCCTCACCGACCATTAGCAATAAATTTAATAAATATTCATCTTCTGCCCAATCTACTCCGCTTTCAAGTATCAAACCCTTAACACAATAGTATAAGTTTGTTAATAGCTATCCAACTGAGTTAATAGGACGAAATCACGAACACATCTTACCTGTAATACATTTCGAACAACTTCACGTTTTGCTCTAGTATCAGCCAGGTCTTTTTTTGTCCTTTCATTCGTTGTGAATTGAAAAGTCAGTTAGATGTCAAATCTTAAACAACATATACTCATACTCACCTTTGAATCATTCTCGTGTCTTGACTACCGGAATTATCAGAGAATGATGTGCGTTTGTCATGTATTTGTTTCATTAGTTGTCTATTATCTTTGTGGCGCTCTAAATTTATAAGCTAGTTAAAAATAAAAACGGCACTGTAACAAGATTTATAATAAATGAAAAAAGGAAACAAACTTATGACAGCTTGTTGAAGCTCTATTAATTCAGTTTGAGCCTTTAACAGTTCTTGATGGGATTTCAAAATTTCTGATACAAGACGATCACGTTCACTTATTATATCTTTAAGACACCTAGAGATTGTTTAATTATTACTGTAACGCGAAAATACATGTAAATATTTAGAAAACATATTGCTACCAAAACTTTTAAAGGATACAATGCTTGAGGGGACAATTGAGATTCTTCGGGAAAAATAGTTGCAGATATAACGCGTCCTGTTTCGATACTATTTAAAAGAATAAATTAATATCATCATTATGTGGGTCTATTTATTCTTTACTTAATAATCTTTTTATGCACCATTCAATTGCTTTGTTCTTGACTAAATTTTTTGCTCTTAAATCTAAAAGAAATTGTTTTTTTTCATCGATTCGTTTCTTTAATTCAACTTCATCAGTTGGTTCAGCAAATATTAACGATGATATCTGTTCTGGAAATAATATTTATCATTGTCTCAAATAATTCTCAGTACTTTAAGAAAGTTTATTAAATATTATAATTACGATCAATACTTACGCTGTTTTTGTAACGCGTATTCTTGCTCGCTTTGTTGATTTTTTACTAACTCTATACGTTCGACCAACCTTAATAATTCCTCTTCTTTATAAGTAAATATGAATTTTTCCTTATTTATTGATATTTCTGTGAAACCAACATTGGCATTCAAGGTAGTTTGTAACAATAGATTCGCTGCTTCGGCAATAAACTTTAATGACATTTTCGATATTACACAATATTAGAAGATCAACATATGGTAAGTTTATAGTGTACAAATATGCTGTATTTTTTTTTTTTATATACATTAGTATAAAAAAAATCAGTTGAATTGAATTGAATTTAAAAAATTAGAAATTTCATCACTTTAGTCTGCTTTCTCTATGTTTGAATGCTCGCGGTATCTCAATAATTTGAAAGGCACCTTTATATCGTTGGAATTCAGCGATAACTCATCGATAATCATCTATATTATATACTTGCGATTTCCATTTTAATTACTTATTTGCTTGAATTAAATGGCAGCCCCGACGATCGAATGCAAAGAGTTTTTTTTGCTTGCAGAAGGACTATATACACTTAAAGAAAACATTTTCTTAGAAATAAGTGCTCCAAATCTGGTCAGTGGGACATTGGTTTCTGTAGTTTCTGTAAAGTATAAGGAATATACAGCACATCCAAACATAAATACTGTAGAAGATGCGTCAGCGATCGATCGTGTGGGCGAAAATGTTCAAAATAACCAAGCAACGCCTTCGACTGAAAATACTTTAGAGGTTGATTTGGACGAGCCAACAGAAATAGAGAAAACGCAGCCTAACCAACAGCAGCTACATGCTGAGGCGGTAGCTCAAAATGTTGACCTTCCTAATTCTAATTTTACATCACAACAAACACCTTCCTTATCTAAACCTTCAACGAGTAATGGATCGATTCCAACTTCAATAGAAGGAAAAAATGATGACATGTTTTCGTTTTTACCTGTAATAAAACGAAAAAAAACAAAGAACAATCTTACCAAAACTACTTCATCTTTTGTGGCAAAAATCATTCAGAACGATAATCTGACAAAAATTTTGGCGAACCGGCAAAATGAAGACATTTATTTATTTTTTAATTCTGGGCGAACGTTCTGTTGGATTGATCTGACAAACAAACCAAAGGTTGGTGTTGCAATTATAATCTTTTCTAATAATTTTTGTATTTGGAGTCGTGTGCGATATACATTTTATTTTTTATTTAACTTAGGATCCATTGACCAAGATTAATTTTACAAAAGCTCATCCCATATGCCATGATGTTAACCAGTTGACTCGTTCTTGTGAACATTTGGATGTTGTTATCGGTTTTTCATCTGGTGATATTATTTGGTTTGACCCTTTATGCAATAAGTATTATAGGTTAAACAAACAGGTACTTGATTTTGTACATTGGATTTGATTAGAAATATATTGTGCCATTAATTAATGTGTTATAATATATTTTCCCAGGGAATAATAAACAATTCATCAACAACTATGGTGAGATGGGTTCCTGGCTCAGAGAATTTATTTATGGTATCTTATCAAGATGGTTCGGTTGTCATATATGATAAAGAAAAAGACGATCAAAGCTTCACCCCGACAGCAACAAATGATGAAGACGGGTGAATATATAATTTATAATAATTTAGAACTTAATAAATTACTATTGTTATTATTATTACTATTACTATTACTATTACTATTATTACTATTATTATTATTATGATTATTATGATTATTATGATTATTATTATTATTATTATTATTATTATTATTATTATTATTATTATTATTATTATTATTATTATTATTATTAT